TATGCCGGGTCTTGCCTGCAGGGCTACAGCAGCCCAAAGGAGGGAAGCAGGGCAGGAGCTCAAGCCTGCAGCCTGCCCCCGCACAGATGTAGAGGCGCGGGTTCCCCTTACCCCCTGGGAGTTCGCACTGCCACCAGGAGCCAGCCCTGTCCCTGCCTAAGTCAGCAGCAGGCAGCTGTGGGGGAGCCAACTCCGTGCTCCTGCTGCAGCTGCCTTCTGTTGGGGGCAGGGAGCTGTGGACCCAAGTCCCTGGTCCCATAGCTCTGGCAGCTGGGGGCCCCATCTGGTAGGGCAAGGGGGAAGAGGCTGTGGGTGGGGGGCAAGGGGTACAAGCAGGGCTGGGAGGCTGTTGTGGGGGCAAAGAGGGGCGCCAGCAGGGCTAGGAAGGCTGTGGGGGAAAGTGAGGAGCACTAGCAGGGCCAGGGGAGGTGTGTGGAAGGCCTTTAATTTTAATCATGGATTTTGGGGGTTTTATCAGAGAATTTGCAATTTTTTAATCTCAGAAAACCAGGATCCCAGATAACTTTACCTGACAACTGGACATCAGCCATTGCTGGCATGGAAAACCAGTGCCTGAATTCCTTGCACATGAAGCTGTGTCAATTCTGACTAAAAGCTACGAAAAAAGGAGTGCAAAAGAAACGCTGCTGAACATGGTTGCAAATCAGACCTACTCACCACTTAACTTTGCAGGTTTGTGAGTTCCACTCCACAATGTGTTTGTCCTCAGAACAGCTATACAAGCAACCATTGTCCTGGTGCCACCGTATACAGTTTATTTTATTGTCATGACCACCATCCTAAAAAAGAAGCAAAAGCTTTGATTATTAGTGGGCAAGTGAAAGAGGCTTCAGCATATACATTTTCTTGCTATTAAAAATATACAAATAATTTCTGAAGGGCTAATTCACATTTTGGAAACATATGGAGAATTTAGACAAGAGTATTTACCCAGAGAGATGGGCTTTGTCTACCACTTTTTTTCTTGGTGCAAGTGGGAGTGTGTCATGGACACAAGCATACTAGGTTTCTGAATAGGTTTGTAAAAAGGGTGAACTTCACTTATACTCTGAAGTCACAAAGGGAGAAATCACCCCTAATCTTCCTCCCAGTGGCAAAACAAGCTACAGACCTTGCTAGTCTTTCTCCTTGGCCACGCAGATCTCAAAGACCACTTGTCCAAGCAAACTACTAAATGGCTGCCTATATACACAACCTCATGCTGATCACTCTAGACCAGACCAAAGGACTCAGAAAGACATACCAACTACGTCTCTCATCTGTCTGATCAAAATAGCTGCACACACATAAGCATGGGGAACAAACAGCTTAATGAGCAAAGCAAACTGCTGAACATCTCACTGTTATTATCAGGATGCCACACAAGATAAAGGATGGGAAACTGTCATGACACAAACTAAGCAATGGCCAAATCTGAAACCCAAAAGAAAGGATATTTTGAGAGAGGAAGAGAGGAAAGACGAGGAGAAGAACTAGAACTACTACTACAAGTATTTCCAATCTTAGGATTTTAGGGAAGGCTGGTCAATGATCAAAGTTATCAAATAATTCTGGTGCCAAATATGTCAGAGACATTTCAGTGTGAAACAACATGCACTGGTTATGCTTCAAATGAGACCTTCTACTAGAACTTATATCACAAAGATTTTGTTCTACTATAGGTAATAAATGAAACATGCCTAGAAAAAGTTAATCGGACTCCCCCAGGATTATATTAATTTTATATGCAGCTGAAAGGTCAAGCTACGTTTCCTTTATATTTCTCAATTTTCTCAATTTAAGTCAGCACAAGCCTGCTCAGACAGCCAAGAGGAAAACGTCTTCACTGCCAATCAGTAGTAAGCGAAACCAAATGGGTATCATCACAGCAAGGCAGTCTGCTCAAGCAGAGAGGAAAAATTTTAATTTGATACGTGTCAAGACAAAAAATGACTTCTCAGCTATTGTGGTAAGGAATGCTGTTCCAATTCCAATGTCTTAAAAAGAAAGCACATACCAAGTATAATCCATTATTCTGATGCGAAATAAGTACAATGACATGCATGAAGACCCACCAAGAGCAGGAACCTCTCAGTAAATGCATATTTTTTATATATATGCATTTTCTCACTAACCCAGACACCTACTGCCTCAACGCATAAGTAATAGCATTCAGGAATAGGTTACACAAATATTTCAGGCTACCATTTACACAAATAATTATACATCTTAGATGCTGGTACAATAAAAATCTGAATTAAAAAGGCACTGATGAGGAAATGGGAGTTTTGAGTAAAATGAAAAGATGACAGAAGGATGAAATGCCACCTAAGGGGGTAGACTGAAACCATGGAGAGGTCTCACAAGACTTTATGCAGACAGAAAGCCTGACTCTTGTTACCGGTGTCAGAAATCTCTGCCCTAGTTGATGGACTTCTTAGAAACCTCGAGGGCAGGGTCAGTATCACAGGGTCTAACTGAATCCTTACTATCTTCTCCAAGTGAAAAGAATGAATTATGAATGCACATAAAACCATAGGATATTATACTAGCTGTATAACAGCAAGTTCTTAACCTACATACAAGCAACCTTATAGACACTGTGCAATCCCAGGTTTCTCCTGCATTCTTGCAGACAAGAATGTAATCATTTAACCATTCAAAACTAAAAATTACATCAAAGTTAACTGATTTTTGAGCAAAAGATGAAAAAGATAGCACACTTAAATCATAAGCTTATAAATACTAATGCAGTGTGTAATGCTTACTAGTTTGCTCTGTAAGTCTCCTTTTACTGTGCTGTATAACAAAATACTGCCAACCGCCGTACCAATCGCCAACAGATCCAACTGTTCACCTGCTTCCACAGCTTCAGATTTTCTTTTTTTCCTTTGAGGTCCCTCCTGAAAAGGAAGTGGGAAAAAAAGTAGTTAGCTTGGTCAGCTGTCCCAAAAAACACATCAGGGAACAAACATTTGTTAACTGTGATATAACCAGCACAATTAAAATACGCTAGCTAAAACGATTACAAATCGTATTACAATTAAGCCGAGAGACTTATTTGCATTTCCAGTACAGTACTGTTCAAATCACATGATTGCTGGAATATATTAAGAAGCAACTGAAAAAAACAATTCTGATAGTCTACTGGCAGCATGTTGTTCTGTATGAAAAACCCAAGCTCATTTTCCAGTTTTCATTTGAAGGCCATTACAAGACAGTGCTTCACCCCCAAAGGGGAAGACAGAAACAGTAATGGAATTCATCACTTCTAGAACACTTTTCATTACTCAATAGACTTTCCAAAAAAGAAGTAAGCCCTCACTCTCTCCTGTGGAGAAAGTTTTCCTTATTTGAGAAATGGGCAGAACTAAGACAAAAGGTTAAATGATTTGACCGAGGTCAGAGGGAGCCAGTACACATTAGATCTTGGACTATAAGGACAGAGGTTAAGTAATGATGTAAAACAAATTCTAAGGGAAGCTTCATGAAGTCTTCCTTGACAAACAGGGTGGTGATCAAAACAAGGTATGAGGTTATGAAGTTAAGTAGAATAATAGAATTAGTTATGGAATATGTCACACCACTGAGAAAAAAGACACTGCCATCTTCCCAGTTCTATTCTCAAAGGCTTATGATATTAAGCCTTTGAGAACAGATCACATCCAGATATTTAAGGGGTTTGACAAAACAAAGCAGACCCAATGCCAGAGGTCAGTAACTGGCCAGACAGATTTCTTCTATCAGATGCGTTTCATCTAGTAGGGGGGCAGACAACCTTTTCCAGCTCTGAACCAAAATGACCCAACCCCTGAGTCAGGTGGGTGGAAGCCTGTCCCCCAAGATGGTATAGGGAGAGCACCTGCCACTGGGGGTGCACCGATAAAGATTTTCTTGGCTGATACTGATGGCTGATTATTAATCAGCCATATCGTCTGATACCAATCAGATAGCCAAATTACAGGAATGCAGCCAGGTAGAGGGGAGAGCAATGTCCAGCCAGTAAGTCCGTGGGAGGGAGGGAAGGGGTGCGTGCTGTGGGGGGAAAGACCGAGGTCCCCACAGTGAGGAAGGGAGTGGGGCAGGGGCAGATACTGCCCAGCCAGGGCAATGAATGCTACCCCACAGGCAGCTTGTCGGGGGAGACATTGGGGGGGGAGGGGGCGGCAGCTCCCCAGCACTGTGCATGCCCCCAGGGAAGGCATGTGTCCCCCAGATTTGTGCACGGGGTGAGGACAGGCTGCCTGCTGCAGGCTCAGGGCCAGGGGCTATGCCGGCTGCTTCCTGACAGGGTGGGCAGCAACAGCACTGAAAGGGGTAGCTCCAGCTCCCCCCCGCTCCCCCAATCTAGTATGATATACCTAACTACCCTCAGATTTCACTGAAGGAAAAAAATTAAAGTTCTTTTACCTACAACAGCATAATGTTTCCTCTACAGAACAGGATATCTGCACTAATGAACAACCAGGAAGCCCAAAACAAGACATCTCCTGGGCTTAAAACATGATCAGCAAACTTTGTGAGCCTTAGTGCTCCGCCTACATTAAGTATCCATTACAATAGGCGAGAGGCAGCAAACCCATCATTAATCTGTGCCCAAGCCTACAGATATGAAAACTGCAGGGCATTTGGAAGCTTGCACCACATTTAAAATACATATGATGTAAAGACAGACATTGGCTGCTTCAAGATCCAGCACTTTAGCTTCTACCCTATAAATATGTTCTAAAGTACTTGGGAATAAAAAATAATAATTTGTTTTAACTGAAGTGAACATTGTGTAGCACCTTGTAGCACCCGTGAAAGGATCTCAAGGCACCCCTGGGTGCTGCAACACCCTGGCTGAGAATCACTGGCCTAAGAGTCTTTTTTTCTGGTACTGTTTCAATTTCCTAATATTGTTTTGTGTGAAAGCAGCTGAGTGCAGATTTTCCCCTTTCCACTGAACAAGACGGTAAACCTGTCTTCCTCACAGAAGCAGCTACCGGCTTATCTAAAAACTCTTCTATCCTCCTTTCACCTCAATGGTTTTTATATTTGGCTCACTGGAAATACTCCAGAACAATGCAACATCATGAGTACAAACAAGCCCCATTGAAGCCCATCCAACTTGTAATATTTCTGATGTCACAGAATGAGTGAGCCAAGAAGTCCTAATGTCTATTCCCAGGGTTTTAAGTTACTTTGTATCTATGCTATATTACTCTCAACAGCTTTGGCTAGTGACAGTACCCAGGTATGGGATTCTGGTTTTAAAAGGAGCCACACAAATGATTAATACTGAAAGTACCTCAAAGGAGTCACAAAAAAAATCTATAGAATTAAAATATGAACAAATCTTAGGTCCTGAACCTGTTGTTATCACAACGTGGGTAGATCTTCTATTGCCTTTGGTGAGACTGAAAGATCGGAGCCTTGTAAAAGAACACCCATACTTACATGGATTAGACCAGAGAAATTTTGATCCCAAAAAGCAGAAGCTCCTGCAAGGCAGCAATGACCACTGGCTCCCACTGGGGAGCCAGCATTTTATTTTTATTACTTTTTTTTAAGTTGATTTCATGGACAATTGCAGATGTTGTGATTTCCACAAAATCACAAATTAAGTAGGTCCTTGCTGATAAGCATAGCTGGCTTAATGTTTTCTCAGACTGCAGGTGATTGTATTTTATATATGTTATTATTGCTTTCCTATGATTAGTTTAAAGGCAGGTTATGGAAAAGGGACTGTTTTAGAAAAAAAAAAATATTTCAGGAAGAAAGTGCTGTCAGGACAAAAACTTTAGTATCTACATATGCCAAGTACAGACTGAATGGGAGATGTGGGTTCTAAGCAGCAATCACAACACCAGGAATTCCCAGAGCACGGGGGTTCAGCATCTGACTTGTTTCTACAATCCACCTCAATATTTGCCACTAACACATGGTTTGCATTAAAGTGGCAAGAGTCCAAAACTGACTTTCACTTAAAGTTGGCCAAATGCCAAGTAGAGGCCCCTAATAAGCACAGGATTGTTCTTAAAAGCATCAGCCCAAAGCAGCAAGCTTTCCACTACAAAAGAAACAAAATGACATATCAAGCACCATGTGGAACAGCTCTCACTTTTTTGTCAGTTCTTTCAGTCCAAAAACAAACCACAAAAGTTATAAAGTTATATAAAATGTGTACTACAAGATATCTAAGATTTTCAACTCCACTGGAAACTATGCCAGGCTTCCAGATAACAATGAAAGTCCCATACACAGATGGGACAAGCCAAGTACTGTTTGATAAAGTTCCAAACACAAGAGGACTGTCTACAAAGAAATCCGAAACTATGTTAGCCCCTCCCCCTAGACTCATCATTTTCACAGTTCTTACTCCAAAACCATTTGGAAAACTTGTGGACATGACACATTGTATCATGTCAAGATATCGTGTTACAAGAATGTTGTGAGGCTGAGTTACACATTATAAAGCAGTCTGATCCTATGTTCCAAGGCAAGCTATGACATGGTGTCCCAGCATGTTCAGGATTGATGAAATGGATGCAATTTCCCCAGTCACTGTAACCACCAAAGGACAAGATAATTTTCAAAAGCAAATCATAGCTAAGCAAGTTAAAGCCCAGGAAAATAAGTCAGCCCTAAACTCCTTGGTCAATTCACTGTCCTTAAGATTACCCAAACAGTAAAAAGGGATATTTTTATCTACTTCAATAATGCTTCACAATTAGTTCAATAAGTATATAACCTTTGTATTTCTATAGCATTTCTACAATAGTTTTCAAGTATTATGATGTGGTTGGCTTCTGCGGATGTTACAGGGGGAAACTCAGCACTTCTAAACAACAATGTTAAAAAAAACGTAAAAAAAAAAATCCAAACCTCAGTGTGATAGGACCTCACTGAG